AAAACATCGCTCATGTTTTCACTGTAAAATGAATTTATCACTCTGTATTTTTTTAATTTTAGAAAGGAACTGATTTCCTGATTTAGTAGATAATACTATTACATATTTTATTTAACGTGTCCGAAAAGTATCCGATTTTTAAAAAACTGAATACGTAAGTAATACTTATATGTACAAAGTGCATGTTGGTTGTAAGTATATATTTAACTATGCAATAAATTCTACAGACAGAGTTGTGTAGGCTAATTAGATAGATTCTGCTTAAACATTATTCTAAAATAAGGTCCTTAGGCCAGTACAAAAACGATAATACACTACATAACTTTTTTTATAAACTTGTACTAAATACTGATTACTATTTATAGATGGGGAGCATGCCTAAGTTTATACTGAAATATATCTAAGCGCAAAATCAATCAGAAATAGTCTTTTCCTATTTCAGAAATTCAACGAGAACCAAGCAACTAGTACCTATATATACATATTCATAACGTACGAAATATGTATATATTTTTGTCAACATTATAATTTAATTTAAAGGTTTAAAGATTATGTTGGGAACAGCTTTTGGTTAGTTTAAATTATAGTCTAATAAAAAAGCGGAAACTTGATTTTTATGTTAATGTTATGTAGTTATATACAAAATGTTTACGGTTTCAGTGTCGTAAGTCCAATTTAACTTAAAATTTAATCTCTTTGACTGCTATTTTAATAAATTAGTCAAATTTAGATATTTTCTAGTCGGGTGAATGAAACAAATTTAAAAATCACAACTAGATTGCCATTTTAAAAATTTCAGTCAACAATTATTATTTTGTCTGCACCTATAGACAACTAAGCTATGTACTGTAAATTATTTTTCTACAGTATGTTAACGTTATTTCGCTCGAATTATTAAAAAAAGAAAAACACAAACAAATAATAAAAATCTAACAATTAAATTTGCAAAATCGACTTTCGAATGCTTAAGTAGGTAGATCTGAGACACATAATTCAAGGTACGATACGATTGACTGGGGGACTTGTGTGACTCCCGCGGTGTGAAGATGCTGTTCTATACCGAGCTCAGTTTGTAAGCTGCTGTCACGTTTAGTGTTGCTGATCCCTAATCCGATTAAACTTCAGAGTGCACACTCCCTGAATTATAAATCCGTCATTAAAAAATTAACACTAATATACTACGTAGTGACAAAATATTCTCATACAAGCTTGAATTGTAAGAATAATTCTTTAAGTACCAGGAGTCGTATTCCATTTTTCTGGGATAGAAAATGTTCGAATTTATCGGACTGTTTACCTTTTAAAATGTGTTTTAGTTCAAGTCTACCTTACGATTTCGTTATTGAGAAGTAGGTACGCACTGAAATGTAGGTAATATTTTTCGATCGGTCAATTAATTACCTATTATTTATTATTTATTTTTTAGAATTACGCGCGATCTTTCAGAAAAATTAATAAGGACCGTGTTATTAAATATACCGATTTTCTCAGGAGAGATTCATAAAATAATTTTCCTAAAATTTCTTGAGCATATTTAGTCTCACCCAAAAACTGAAGTGAATCTTTTTCGAAAAATATATTGTGAGAACGCGATACCGGTGGATATTTATGATATGTTGTGCTTCAGGGACGAACGTGGCCGGTGTTAATAAATAATAAGTACAACCGGTCTGAAACTTTTTATTTCCACCAGAATAGTTATAATATGTTACAGATACTACAGATTTCGACTCGAATTTTTTGTTCAATATTATGCCATTCTGTTAACGATTTAATAATAATTGATTAAGTGTGTCGATCAATCGCCGTCACAGAGGGTTGTAGATGAGTGACAAGAAAGGCTAAGAGATGCGGTATCTTGTCATTCCGGTCATTTATCACAGTGTATTTGTTATGTGTTTGTATAATAATCTAATACACACCTGTCATTCAGCTGCAGTGACTTACGAGCCGTACTTATTATTGAATGTAGCAGCTTGAGGCTGACCATTTAAAGTGAAGACCAGATTCAAAACAGGCAAATTCTTTCCCGATGCCAGAAACGATCAAAAATGTTTCGATGTTAATGATGACAAAACTGCATTCGACGGATCCGCCTATCGTTATCATCGTAAACTGATACAAGAAATACTTCGTCTACAGAAAACTGGCTGTTTTTCTATTAACACCAAAAAGTACGTGTCAGACTGTCAAGACCCAATTAAAACACTTTGTTCCACATTACAATTCGATACGCTAAAAAACATTACGCATTTGGCTAAATTAAAACGTATCACAATATGGAGCTAAAACTTGTCTGATTGATGTATTTTTATTTTTTTACACTCGAAAATATCAAAATTTCAATTTCGGAAAATTTGGAGTTACGCACTTCGAAAATAATCGTAGTATTCCTGCACTTTATCGTCTCAGTGAGGCTTACAATCAAAACTCCATTTTTTTTTGAAGAGGTTTTTAACCAACCCAAAGTTTTGAGACAGACGCTTGTACCCGGAGTCTGTAGGTCAAAATAAGTTAGTTGGCAACCGTAAAGGGGATTTGTTGGACTGTACTTCAGGGGCGAGGGAAGTAATGTCAAAATAACCTTCGACCAATTTTTTAACTTGTTTTTTCCAAAAACCTGGAAGTTTCAGGTAAAAACTCAACACAAGTGTATAGGAGTACGTTATTTTAAAAATTTAGGTACTTACTATTGTAAATTTTTGAGATGATGTCATCCCATTCTTGGTGGCGACACAGTATTAATAAAATATATATAAAATTTGACAACGATCGGTCCATTAGTTTCGCAGATTTTTGATGTCTAATAAAGAGCGACACAGACGGCGGATACACGGCAGAGGCGGAAATGAGTGACCTATTTTTTCGTACTCTAAGGGTCATGAAACGTCGAGAAATCATAAAAGCACATGTTAGGTACAATCTGTATGTAAATATTATCAAAAATTCTCATTACTTTAAGTTTAATGCACACAATTTTTTGAAAATCTGTTCGTTCTCCTTTCCCGCCACCTTTTCGGCTAACAGAGCATTTCAAGAATGAATAAGTACCCACTAAAAGCAGTTTCTTCAGTTTCTTTGAAATACACACAATTCATTCTCTCACACTAACAAAAAGTCGAGATTCCTTGTCGCCTATACCTATATGCCTACCACAAAAGATTTCGATAACAGTTGTATAGCTACTCTAAACACAAATGACGGTTATATATTTTTCACAAATTCACAGGTTTTGGGCCACGCTCCAAAGTGCTTCAAAAAAAGACCTTATCGAACCGTGAAAACCAATTGTCAACTAGCTTTTCTTTCGGCATGCTCGTGCCCACAGTCCGACTTTAATCGGATTTTAAGTGGCTTCTGGCAACACGTAACCGAATGGATGTTCGATAAGTTATCAGATGGTTGTTGAGATAGCTTGTGGTATTCGATGCTAGAACTAAAAGAAGGATTGAGTGGAGTGAAAAGGTGAAAGGTTACGTCGTGGGTGGTTAGTGGTCCGCTGCATACTCTTTGTACAAGTGCCGAACGCGTTTTTACGTCATCTACACTTGATCAAACAACTATTGTTCTGTTTTGATTGATTCCTTCGGCCACTCTCACAATATTTAAATTCAGACCGAGATATCATCGTCTTATTGTAGAATCAGAAGGACCATTCGGTTCGGTTTGTATAGATGGTAATCAATACGTTATTAATGTAATGATTGCGTACGAAAATATCGTTAGGCTTTTAATTGCTTTAAGCAACTATTTGTTGAATAAAATTCCAAAAATTTGTAAAGTTCTTTACATCAGACATAGCAATAAAGCTTGTAAATCAGAGTGTATTTTGGCTGCATTTTGGCAGCTAAGAATATAGGTAACTATTCATTTTGATACCTAAGTATATTAAGTATACCTACCTACAATATACTTAAACATAATTTTATTGTCTTGCTCGAATTTTATGGAAATGAGATTAATCGTTTTTGAAAAAAATAGAAAATAAAAATTTATTTTTTAGGACATTTTCCGCAATTAATTGTATATGAATGAATTATATTATTATTAAACGAATGATGAGACATTTTTTATGAAATTATACGATAAAGTCATCATGTTTTGGTAGAATTGAACATTTTTTAAGCAATAATGACGTTAAAAGGTTTTTAGAAATTCAAAGCAATTAGAAAAGTCGCTCGAATATTTAAAACAGAACAAAAAAAAAATGTTACGATCAAAGCATAATTATCTCAAGTGTTTTTTATTAAAAATACATTTTCGTCAGTATTCTATAATAATTATTAAATCAATACTTATTAGTGTTTTTTTTACCAAAATTTTAAAGAAATCTGTTATATGAATTCTAAGGCAAAGTATAAAAAAAATCATCCTAATATACTTATATACAGGGTGTTATTGAAAGGTACGTACAACAAAATGGACAGTTCTTCGCGAAGTCTAAGAAGTCGGAAAAACTTACTTTGTCTTATCAAAATTTTAAGGGGAAAATTAACCCTTATCCAATCTTTTTAGACGCTACTGAAGGATAAATAGGTAAAATTAATTTATTTTAGTAAATCCTAGCAACTGTAACAATAAAACTTTTGTCAAGACTAAATGTTGCTATAGAAACGAAAGATGATCTTTTTATCAGAGGCATACAACGAATTTGGACATCAATTTTAATAATTTTTATCTCTAAAAGGAGAACACTTTTACCTGAACTTTTTTTAACTTTTAGCACCCATACCTCGAGACCAATTGCCGATTTTATTTTGTACGTACCTTTCAATAACAGGCTGTATATAAATTATTTTTTTTTAGCATTTTTTTATCGATATTTCATGGTTTCGGAAATATAAATAATTAGGTCTTCCGATTCCGTCCGTCTTTTCTCTTGAACTCTCGAGGCCAATTTTTTAATAAACATCAGTAGACGAAGCACCGTATATATTTTCTGTCTTTACTCAAAAAAAACCTGATACATGCGGCTACCTAAATAAGTATTCTTGTTTCAGACTGAGTACCGGCTATGCTCAGCATGTGGTGAACCGATTAGTGACAAGTTTCTTTTAGAAGTTTCTGGCAGAAGCTGGCATGCAAGGTGTCTCAGATGTTGCGTTTGCCAGTTGCAACTGGACCGACAGCCCTCCTGCTTCATCAGAGATCGAGCAATCTATTGTAAAGCAGACTACGCGAAGTAAGTAGCGTCTAGAATAAAAATTGCTAAAATTATCCTAAAAAATTTCCTCCATTTTTATAGGAAAACGAGATTTTCAAATGAACCGACGTAACCGAGTTACCGCTTGCGTACACCTACCAAAAATTGTAAATGTTAATGAAACAATTACTGAATTTCGAAATGAACCGAGTGGCATTCTTTACGACCTGTCGGTTTTCCAAAACATGCATTTAAAGCACTTGAAATTGGAGTTCAGTGTAAGGTGAGCGGACACCGTATAGGGTATAGCTGTTCGCGTGTCTTCTAAGGCACGGTTCGAATAAAAATCACTAAATTAGTGGTAATTAGAATCCCAATTTAAAGATACACTTAGCGACTGCTCCCGAAATGTGTGGGTCGAATCGAACCTTCTCTGTAAAAAATACTTGATGAATATTCAAATTATCAGTGACGGGTCGCACGACTTAAGAATACTTTATCCTGGTTTACAAAGAGACAAATATTTTTTATCTTCTACGATAACAGAGTGAAAACGAGTGTTTTAAGAAATATTGTGATCTTAGATTCGTCGAAACTTCCTTTAAAATTTTTCTGAATTTATTGATGTAACACAATCATACCGTCTTTCTGATTCAAATGGCAAAATAAATTATTAAACAATAATTAAATAAATTAATAATTGTTATTAATTTTAACTAATATTAAACAATAAATAAATTAACCAATAGCAACCGAAACCAAAATTAAATTTTTGTTTTCTACAAAAGATGCTCAAAATGCTCTCCATTTACTTCTTGGCAGTAAAAAAGACGCTGAATAAAATTTTGTACTGAGTTAATGAGAATTTATGGACGAATGCTAGCAATTTCGTTACGTATGCGTTCCTGTAAGGTCACTCAATAGTACCTACCCCTTCGGTTTATCCTTCTGCTAGGAAAAATTTCATTTATGTACTGTCTCATTTGACGTCCAAAATGGGGTGGAGCACCGTCATGTTGAAACCAAATAGTTTTTCCTGCTAACCCCAGATTTTGGTAATCGGGAAACAATTCTCTAAGTCTAGGCACTATAGCTCCCCGCAACAGCCTTAAAAGTATCCCTCAGAATTTAAATTTTCATTAATAAAAAAAAGTACCAATTACATGGTAACCAATAATACCGCACCAAATATTCAGTTAAGGTAACTATGTCATCTTTTTTTTTCTTTATTTTTATTTAAAATAATTTATTTTGGCATTTCAGTTAGAAAGAAAGTACGATTGTGCTACATCAATGAATTAAAAAAAAAAGCTCTATTCAAAGATGCATTAACTCTATGACTGTGCCATTTAAAAAAAATGAAATTCGCCTTGCATCTCGAAAACAAATGAAGGAAAAAAAAAATTTTTGACGAATAATTAGAGCACAACTTCTTCTATCCCTACACCTAATTTCACTTGATTTGTTGTACAATTGGTTCTCAAGACATTTAACCGTATGCATACATTGTAGCCATCCTGTATTATGTAGGTATTAGCACTGTCTAGCATATGCGTGATTTCAAATTACGATTACTGTATCAAGTAATAACATACGTATACGTATCATGTAAGTACTAGCAACTCTAATTTATTTTCAAAATTTGTTCACACTTTTTTCCACAAATCTGATCAATTTTTATCGCAAGGTGGACTAAAATAAGATTTTAAGAATTTAGTAGGTTTATATATCATACATTTTATTTCACCGTTTTACCTTACCTACTAATAATCCCTTGAATATTTACTTTAAAATAATAATGTACTTTAACGACTGGCGTTCTTTTTTGACTAGAATTTTCAAATCAATAATTCCGAGAATATTATATAACGTAACTTCTTTTTATACTTTATTAAAAAAAGAATAGTGATGAATTTTCGTTTTTTATGCTCGGAGATTGCACAATTTTACTCTCCCGTAACTAAGTTTAAAAATATCTAGATATTTTAGTAAACCATAGATAGGTACTTGTAAGAGAACATGATTGTTACAAATATAAATTTCTGGCGGAACTTATTGACAAAATTTGAGATGGCTTATTTAAATTTTTAGCGAAAAAGAATAAATAAATGTTTGTTAGTGTTTTACCACAACGCGGTAATCGTAAAGTACACCTGGAATTTAATTTCGTGTTCTGGGCGTTGCTAAATACGAGAAAACATGAAGTTAGCTGTTTGTCAAATGGACTCTCCTAGAGTACTTAATTTGTGCTCGAAAAGTAACAATATCCATTGTTATTTGTGCTTTCGTAATAGTACAGGCACAATTTTTTAGGACATCTTGTACAGATGTCTCAAATAAATTAATGAATGAAGCTTACATATAGGTATACGTACATACCTAGGTATGTGTTCACTGCACTTGGGGAAATATGAAGCGTTTCAGTTCGCTTAATTGTTTCAATTCTGTATAATAGATTATTGCATTTTTATTGGTAGGCAAAAAATAAGTGTAGTAAAAATTTTAGAATTGTATATTTACTAGTCAATCTGCACCTATATATGTATATAAATGAGAAAGGAAATACTATTAACTTAAAATTCTACATATGAGTAAATACCTGAAAACGAAAATAATAGCGAGTTATCACGAGGATTGTGGGAACTTGGATGAAGTTTGGCCATCATAATGCGCAAGATGAGCTGGTCAGATGTCACTGCCGTCTCCAGCGGATGACAAATGAAAAGGCAAGAAATGCTAGTCATTCAAATACAATATGCTCACGGTTTATTGTTCCTGTGTGTGGTAGATTCTTTAAGTCTGTTGGGATATTTTCCTTCTTATCTGTCCATGTTACAAACGTACGACTTATTCAAGATCAAGCTTTATGAAATATCCCTCCGCTAAAAAAAAAAGATCTAAAAGTATTTAGACAGAACTTATTCCCTCGGCCCTGAAGTACAGGCGAACAAATTTAATTTTGCGAATTTTATTTTTTGTCATAGCCCGTGTAAGTTAAAATACAGACATTTTTTCATAACAAAATTTTGTAATGACGTCATCAACATTTTCTCAAGGATACGTATATCAATTTGAATAGGTGCAGTATAATACTAATAATAACAGTACTGTATCTTCACATTTTGGAGAAAATAAGGTGAGCCATTTTTGATTTGTTAAAAAAAAAAACAATTTCCTATTTAATTAAGTATTTGTTTTGTGTCGCCCTTTTAAATAACATTTACCACAATGTAAATTTTGAAGATGACGTCATTTCATTGTTGGTGGGGATGATCAGGCAAATTTTGGTTAGCGTTTTACCATCTGCACGGTATTACTAACATATACAGGATGATTCAACATAAATGATGAATTTGACTTGTCCTAATAGGCACCCCAAAATACATTCCCTCGCTCCTGAAGTAGATATAATACAATGAAACATATCTAGCATTTTCGAGTTGAGTTATTTCTTTACACAACTTTGCGATGGCGTCATCAACATTTTTATAAGGACACGTACCTATATCAACTTGGATTGGTGCAGTGTAATACTGAAAATCGCAATATTGTATTGCCAAAATTTTTTGGGAAAATGGAGTGAGCCGTTCCCTATTTAATTAATAAAATTAACTCAATCATTAATTTTTTTTTGAGCCACCCGTTTAAGCAAATCTAAAAAATATTAATGCAATGATAAATCACAAGTAACAACCATGGGCGCCCATAGGGGGGGGCCAGGGGGGGCGACGGCCCCCCCTGAGATTCTGCGTCAATTTCCTTTTTATTTGTCAAAATTAAACTTCAGCACATTTGTAAGAGTAGGTACATGCCCTACACTTTCAGTTTTTTTGCCACACAAACACAGAAATGTGACAACTTAGACCATCTGGTTTTGAAGCCCTCTGTTCGGCCCAGATTTGCCTGGAAACATCATAAATCTATCCTTTTTAACCGGTACTGAATTATGGGTTGTTTCGTTATTTGCTTTTTACAGTTATTACAACACGAGCAAACATTTTATTGCTTACGTCCAAAAATTCATTCCGTTTTCACTTTTTATCTGTGGTGAAGTGACGTGTAAAGACGAACAGTTGTTAAACCGGCGTTTTGTTGACTATACTTTTTATTATTTATTTATTTATTTCAAAATACAAGCGTAAGTACTCTTGATTAAATGTCTGTTTAAATTTTAAATTTAATATTTTATTTAAAAACAAAGAAATATGGATATTTAAAATTTCTTCAAGAGAAAAATTACAAATACTGATGATGATACTTCAGCTAATAAGAAGTATAAAATAAGTGGTGTTATTTATTACTACTGATGGCGGGTTTTCAGAGTAGCCATCGATTTCGAGTGGAAATTTCGGTTGCTCCAGAACTGTTTCACCAGTGGGCGTGCGAACTACAACACAGATGGCATAGAAAATTATTTTGGCACTTTTATTCCATACCTGGATCATTTCATTCTTTCCTTAACGACATGATTTTCCGAAACAAAAATGTCATCATACTCATTATTTTCCTTACATCCAAAGAATGTACATAACTTAAAACCAAGTTGCTTTAAAAGGTTGGGCGAATTTTACTCCACTGACAATTTATCAGACGAAATCCAAAATTGGCAGGATTTTGTAAAAATAAAAAAACTTGACAGTAAGTATTTGAGAGAGAGAGAGAGTTAATGCCGAAGAAACATCAGTTGGTAGAGTAATTGACGATTTTGGCCAAGAAAAAAGAAATTAGCAATTTGCTTTTGATTAATTTTATATTTTTATAACTTTTTAATTTTAATATTTTACACTGTTTTGTTAATAATAAGAATAATGGTGTTGTAGGGTTATTTGCGAGTAGATTTGATTAACGTAGTTGATGATTAAAATATATATTTATAATAGTAAAGATTTATATCATTATATTATTTATATATATACAAGAACAGAGTATATTACAAAAATTTCAGGGTGGCCCCCCCTGAGAAAGGTTTCTATGGGCGCCCATGGTAACAACTCTTCATATTTTTCACATTTTGGCTACAATTTATTGATTTTATTAAATAAAATATTATAGGTAAAGACCTTAGTCAGGAAATATATACGTACCTACGTCTGAATTGTTGAATTAACCGAATAGATTCTGTTGTGTAATAGTAAATCATAACTGCAGGCAAAGGCAAAACAAGTTTTGTGAAATCAAAATAACACTGAAATAATTACATACATATATATTATGATTTCACATATCTAGGTGATAAATCTTAGGGCTTTCAGTTTTTTCAAGTTTAATAACTAATAGTGGTTTCGTTAGCGTTTTTAACTTAATTTAAAACTTTTTCTTTCAAAAATCTTCTGTTAATTAAACTTTTACGATTAACCAAACCTAGGCTTGAAAAGCCTATCAGTTCAAAACATTCGGTCAATGCCAATCACTTACAGTTTGTGAAAGAACGCTGCAATACTTAGGTAATTTACTTATTTTTTTGCAGAAGTTTCGGAGCAAAATGTTCAGTATGTTCGAGAGGTATATCATCAAGTGATTGGGTTCGCAAAGCACGTGACCATGTGTACCATTTAGCCTGTTTCGCATGCGCTGCGTGCCACCGGCAGTTGTCAACCGGCGAAGAATTTGCCCTCCACGAGGACAGGGTGCTTTGTAAAGCTCATTACTTAGAAACGTTGGATGGCGGAACAACATCTTCAGACGGTAAATATTTTCTATATAATTGAAATGAAAACAACTCACACATTGGAGAAATTTGCATAGCAAAATGTGAGGCGGAAAATGAACAAATAAAATTTTACAAATAGTTCCCATTTACAGTTCACCTGAACAAAGTGTAATAAAATTATCGAATTCATCCACGAAAGTTGGCTCATTTCTCCAAAAGCGAGGTTTACTCTGCTCAAGCGGGATAGGTACATCAGATTGGGGATTTCAGCGTGGATTTTTCAAAAGAAGAATCAAAGTCTTTAATTGGTTTGTTAAAAACCGCACTGAATTTAAATAAGTATATCGAATGATCCAAATAAGAAAACAACAAAATGTGGAAGTAAAATTGAGAGAGTTGTCGTTATTAGATATTTAGATGAATTTCCTTCAAAACTATTTATCTCGTATTTTATTTATCATAAACTCGTTGTTTCTTTCTTAGATTATGATAATGTTGCGGAGGATATTGATTTACAAAATCAACCATACAAAGATTCAGCAGAATATCTATTATACCTTACACAATTATAAGGGCGCACATTGAGTACCTACATACCTACTTACGAATGAATACAAATTATTTTATTTTATAATTTACGCCTTGTTCCTGATTGGTCCAAATAATATCTTCCATAATAATATTTGTATTATTCATGAAAGATATATTTTTATGTAGGTAACTAACATAACACTATATCGAATATTATTATTATCTACGATCGCCACAGAATTTTTCACTTTGATTGTGCGGTTTTGAGCACACCCATTTTTCTATTATTACGATATTCTCACAAGTATTTTTGTAGATGGATGTGATGTCGAAGGTTATCACAAAAACAAAGCGAAAAGGGTTCGCACAACTTTTACGGAAGAACAACTGCAAGTGCTGCAAGCTAATTTCCAGTTAGATTCCAATCCGGATGGTCAAGATCTGGAACGGATTGCTCAAATCACAGGCTTAAGCAAGAGAGTGACGCAAGTGTGGTTTCAGAATTCTAGAGCGAGACAAAAAAAACATATGCACACTGGAAAAATTAAAACTCAAAGTGAGTGATTTGTGGAGTTTTACATCGTTTCGAATTGGCAGCATAACATTTGTTACCTCTATAATTATGCACCTGGAAAATGCCAACGCGGTTGACGAAACGCCTCGACAATTTTTGTAATTATGTATTTTCGGCGTTTTAGGGGTAATGAATGTTATATGTATTGTTGTCATGGACAGAGGGGTTCAGTTGTTTGCAGATTCAGTTTTTTTTACAGTGCATAACACCAGAGACGAAAACAGCTTTGGACGTCATATAAACCTGCATCTAACGTACTCATTTCAACAGCAAAACAATTCTAAAACATCGTTATTTGGCCAACCAGGTGAGTTAGAAGTAATGCAATTTAAGTATATGGATACTAAATAAGATTTCTTTGTAGAATCAACGTTGGACGACTTATCCCAAGAATCTACAATGCACTGCATGCAAGGCGAAGTGTGAAAAAATGGCTTTAAGAGTTTATTTTGAGTCTAAATGACCGTACTGGTACTTTACAATGTACTGCGTGATTTATTTTAAGTGTACTATTCTGACAAACGAATAGACGTAAAAAATATTTTTCGAGTAGAGCGTTGATACAAGTACTTAAGTACCTACTTACTTATTAAAAATTTTGGAGCACTGAAGGTTTCACATTTTATAAAGCAAAATTTTAAATTTAATCCAATTTCCATTGTTCATGTAAGCAATAGGAAATATGTAGGTACCTACTCATTACATAATGGTTAATTTACAAAACATGTATTGTCGTGTCGTGTAAAATACGCTGAAACACTCGAAATAAAGAAATATTTTTACGTTTAGCGTCGATCAGTTTTATTTGTTTGTTAATTTATTAGTCCTATTTATTTGGTTACTGTATGAAAAGCTAAACACTTAATATAAAAATAATGATGGCTACAATATGTGTTACTGAAGTTAATTACTTGTTGTATGTATAAATTAAGTTTAATAAAACAAATTAAAATAATAACAAGTGACAGTAATCGTATCTTCTTTGCTTCCTGAGTGAGAAGTTCAATTTACCCACTGCAATATATGAACAATATCTACCTATAAAATATAAACAGAGAAAAAGTCTACAATTATTATGTATGTATTCGGGCAGAACTACCTACACCCGCCACTGAAGCACAGTCAAAATACAAGAAACCCAGTTCCTTACATACATTATATTTAAATTAAATAAAAAGGAGTAGACAATGTCGTCAGTTTCTTCCTCATCCTCACATTGTAACGGTTTTCGAATCTAGAACTATTTTTTCAACTTTAGCTACACTTGGGCATGTCTAACATGGAAATCCTGATTTCATTTCGTTCTCGACATCTAAAAGTGTTGATTTTCCTCCTTCGGACCCTGGCCAACATTCCTAAATTATTGCAAAAATCTGAGGGACAATTTTAATTCGATTACTCCGTTAGGGTCCGTATTTTAGGTAAAATACCTTTTCCTACTCCCCTTATCGTAATCATACCATTAATACACGGTTTTCATGGACGTAAGTTCGTTTTACGAAATGATTACGGTTGTTAATGACGACGGGACGTAAGCACAAGAATTACACTTTGGTGAGACTAATAATTAGTTTGCAATGTGTCTTATTTTAGTTTCACTAATCATTCTTTTTCTAAATTATTTTTAGGGCCGGTCACAGAATTTGAAAATTTCCAGCGAGAGTTGGAGGAGGAGGAACTAGCTGAAAATATTGAACAAGGTGAGAAATTAAATAAATATTTACAAAGAATGTTGGGTAGTTATGTCCTGATTTTAGAAACAGATGATACAATAATCATTCAAGTGGTACCTGACATTGGAGGTGAAAATGCAGCAGAAAGTAAAACTTGGGAAACTCACTGCCCTGCAGATTTAAAAAGGACGCCAGCAAAAAAACTCAGACGAATAATCGTCGAAACAAAAGTCCGAGGCGATAAAAAATATACTAGCTTAAATCATAAATTAATAGAAGAAAAAATAGAGCTAGTGAAAATACAAAAGGAAAAATTTTTAGAGGAACATGCTCTAAGAATGATTTTGTTGCAAAGCAAATTGGGAATGAAGAATTAAAAAAAAAACAAATTCTTAATAGCAATTAATAAAATGTTTTGTTTCTTTAATGTTCTTTTATGTATTTTTTTAAGGTTTTAGATTCATTAGTTTTGTAGTTTAAGCGATATATTTTCACAAAAAATAACAAAAAAACAAAACATTAACGAAATAGTTGAGCGGCAGGTGAATCCCAGGCCAGCGCGCATTCTCGAGTGCCTCACACTCTAGCGACGTGGACAGGCAGCGGCTCGCAGTATCACCACTTCCACCAAGGCGTCAAATTCAAATTCTTGAACTGATTGCTAACACGGCCATTCTGACGTAAGCTTCGCTCTCGAAGCTTCCAAGATAAAGGGCCACGATGCTCTTGGACTGGAAGGGGTGACGGCTTCATTATACCTAGAGATACAACAAGTTTCACAAAACAATTAATACTCGACACGCCGATTCCAAAAATATAGCATGTTGATTTATTACGAAGCAACATTTTCGAAAAAATCGCTGCAAAAATTCGAATTTTGAAAATTTCTATATATTCGATATTTTAACGGTCGATTCTGGAAAAACGGTTGCAGTTATCAAAAAACTGACGACGGATTTGAGTTCTAGAGCTCGAAATCCACAAGAAAATGTATTTAGATGAGTTTCGAAAATGTCAAAATTTTTGCTAAATTTGAAGACCGTTAAAAAAATTCAATTTCCAAAAAGTTGTCTAAAAATTATGAAAAGATTCAGGGACGTAGATCTCGACACGATGATTCCAAAAATATAGCATGTTGATTTGTTAAGAAGCAACATTTTCGAAAAAATCGCTGCGAAATGCGAACTTTTGAAAATTTCAAAAATTTCGATAATTTATCGTTAAATTATTAATCGAAGCCGGAAGTGAGTTCTGGAGCTCGAAAGAAGGGGGGACCATTGGAAAATTTTCACTTTTAAAAAGTCGTCTAAAAATTCTGAAAAAATTCAGGGACGTAGATCTCGACGTGCTGATTCCAAAAATATAGCCTGTTGATGGTCGCGGAGCGACATTTACGAAAAAATCGGTACGAAATGCCTAATATAGCGATTTCAAAAATTTCGATATTTCAACCGTCGATTCTGGAAAAACGGTTGCAGCTATCAAAGAATCGAGGCCGGAAGTGAGTTCTAGAGCTCGAAATCTACAAGAAAACTAGCTGACCCGGCCACGCGTTGCTGTGGCTAAAGTTTTTGTTATGTTACATTATAGTAAACAATCTAAGAGGAACAATAAGAGAACATCAGTCACGGAGACCACTATGCTTTTTCACACAGATGGTATTTGTAAAAAAATATGGTGATCTCCTTATTTGACTTTCTACTACACCAAAAATTTAAAAAGTGGAAATAATTGAATTATACGGTATTTCGTTCACTACAAAATAAATTTAATTAATTTTGTAGCGTCAACAACACGTGGTAATTATGCTGTTAAAATGTAGCTTATATGACACGTTCGTAGATTTACCATAGCAGCGCCCACTATTGATTACTTACTCAACCCAGTCAAAAGTTATTGACATCTGTTAGAATCATTTGGAGTTAACAGATAATTGTGACTGTCAAATAATAACAGAAAGATTTTCACTTTTAAAAAAGTCGTATTAAAATTCTGAAAAAATTCAGGGACGTCGATCTCGACGTGCTGATTCCAAAAATATAGCCTGTTGATGGTCGCGGAGCGACATTTACGAAAACATCGGTACGAAATGAGTAATTTATAGCAATTTCAAAAATTTCGATATTTCAACCGTCGATTCTGGAAAAACGGTTGCAGCTATCAAAGAATCGAGGCCGGAAATGAGTTCTAGAGCTCGAAATCTACAAGAAAATGTACTCAGTTAGGTTACGAAAATATCAAAATTTGGCCGAAATTTGAAGAAGGGGGGACCATTGGAAAATTTTCACTTTTAAAAGAGTCGTTTAAAAATTCTGTAAAAATTCAGGGACGTAGATCTCGAAGTGCTGATTCCAAAAATATAGCCTGTTGATGGTCGCGGAGCGACATTTTCGGAAAAATCGGTACGAAATGCCTAATTTATCGAATTTTCAAAAATTTCGATATTTCAACCGTCGATTCTGGAAAAACGGTTGCAGCTATCAAAGAATCGAGGCCGGAAGTGAGTTCTAGAGCTCGAAATCTACAAGAAAGTGTACTCAGTTAGGTTTCGAAAATGTCAAAATTTCGGCGAAATTTGAAGAAGGGGGGATCATTGGAAAATTTTCACTTTTGAAAAAGTCGTTTAAAAATTCTGAAAAAATTCAGGGACGTAGATCTCGACGTGGTGATTCCAAAAATATAGGCTGTTGATGGTCGCGGAGCGACATTTTCGGAAAAATCGGTACGAAATGCCTAATTTATCGAATTTTCAAAAATTTCGATATTTCAACCGTCGATTCTGGAAAAACGATTGCAGCTATCAAAGAATCGAGGCCGGAAGTGAGTTCTAGAGCTCGAAATCTACAAGAAAGTGTACTCAGTTAGGTTTCGAAAATGTCAAAATTTCGGCGAAATTTGAAGAAGGGGGGACCATTGGAAAATTTTCACTTTTGAAAAAGTCGTTTAAAAATTCTGAAAAAATTCAGGGACGTAGATCTCGACGTGCTGATTCCAAAAATATAGGCTGTTGATGGTCGCGGAGCGACATTTTCGGAAAAATCGGTACGAAATGCCTAATTTATCGAATTTTCAAAAATTTCGATATTTCAACCGTCGATTCTGGAAAAACGGTTGAAGCTATCAAAGAATCGAGGCCGGAAGTGAGTTCTAGAGCTCGAAATCTACAAGAAAATGTACTCAGTTAGGTTTCGAAAATGTCAAAATTTCGGCGAAATTTGAAGAAGGGGGGACCATTGGAAAATTTTCACTTTTGAAAAAGTCGTTTAAAAATTCTGAAAAAATTCAGGGACGTAGATCTTGACGTGCTGATTTCAAAAATATAGGCTGTTGATGGTCGCGGAGCGACATTTTCGGAAAAATCGGTACGAAATGCCTAATTTATCGAATTTTCAAAAATTTCGATATTTCAACCGTCGATTCTGGAAAAACGGTTGCAGCTATCAAAGAATCGAGGCCGGAAGTGAGTTCTAGAGCTCGAAATCTACAAGAAAGTGTACTCAGTTAGGTTTCGAAAATGTCAAAATTTCGGCGAAATTTGAAGAAGGGGGGACCATTGGAAAATTTTCACTTTTGAAAAAGTCGTTTAAAAATTCTGAAAAAATTCAGGGACGTAGATCTCGACGTGCTGATTCCAAAAATATAGGCTGTTGATGGTCGCGGAGCGACATTTTCGGAAAAATCGGTACGAATTGCCTAATTTATCGAATTTTCAAAAATTTCGATATTTCAACCGTCGATTCTGGAAAAACGATTGCAGCTATCAAAGAATCGAGGCCGGAAGTGAGTTCTAGAGCTCGAAATCTACAAGAAAGTGTACTCAGTTAGGTTTCGAAAATGTCAAAATTTCGGCGAAATTTGAAGAAGGGGGGACCATTGGAAAATTTTCACTTTTGAAAAAGTCGTTTAAAAATTCTGAAAAAATTCAGGGACGTAGATCTCGACGTGCTGATTCCAAAAATATAGGCTGTTGATGGTCGCGGAGCGACATTTTCGGAAAAATCGGTACGAAATGCCTAATTCATCGAATTTTCAAAAATTTCGATAATTCAACAGTCGATTCTGGAAAAACGGTTGCTGCTATCAAAGAATCGAGGCCGGAAGTGAGTTCTAGAGCTCGAAATCTACAAGAAAATGCACTCAGTTAGGTTTCGAAAATGTCAAAATTTCGGCGAAATTTGAAGAAGGGGTGACCATTGGAAAATTTTCACTTTTGAAAAAGTCGTTTAGAAATTCTGAAAAAATTCAGGGACGTAGATCTT